AGCTTCAGGCATTGTTTCTCTCTTACCAACACTTTGCCTCGTTCCTTTCTTCCTTAAGAGAAGGATTCAAGAGCAGAAGTAAGAAGAAGTTAGAAGAAAAACACCTAACTCCTGTGGATGACCACAAACCTCTTCAAAGTCCCTTAACGATGATAATGTCTTGAAAGAGTTCAGTCATTATTTGCCAAACAAGAAACTTAAGAACGTGGCTTTTCAAATGCTCTGGACCATAACCCATGGTAAGAAATAAGTTTTATAACACAATCCAGGAGAAACAAAGAGAGGGAGAGGGGGGTTATAAAACAAGACTGGTACCCACAACAAGCGATGCTGACAGTTTCTATTTTATGTTATGGCACTTTTTTAAAGAGTGTTGGTTACTATCCCCTAACTGATTTCCTCACTCACTAGTGGGTTGTAACCTGAAGTTGGAAACATAAGGGTTCATGAAAATTCAAAAGTAGGAATCACAAATCTCTTTGGTCTTTCTTTTCTGTAGCATTTTGAGACATTCCAAAAACATAAGAAAGTCCAGCACATTTCTTGAGAAACAACAAAACATTACTATGTACACTGTTCGCTCGGTGTATTGCTTCCAAATAAAAGAGGGGTTTCTATGTGGGGCCTTCTCCTGTGTTTGATTGCTGGAGCCAATTAAGCCTTAGGGCAAATAGTATTTCAAAATACAGGGCTTTCTTTTATGTGGGGCTTGGGTGCGCTTTGAAAGGCATGCTCTCTTAGATGAGAACATTCAATGAGCAACTTCTTGCATGTATAAAGCCACATCCCAGATCAGAACCGAGAAGTGGGTGAGCACTCTGCCCTGGGGCTGATGAAATGGGAACTCGGTGCCCAGGTGCCATTCCAATTATGGGCAGGTTGAAAATTACCACCCCCAGCACCACTGCCACCTGCCCCAAGGGAAGTCTCCTCTCCATCCCCTGCTGTGTGCTTTTGTGTCCAACACACTCTCAAAGCTGGAAAGGAACAGCAGAGGCATCTAGAGAGTCAACTACACCTTTCAGGCGAACAGTCCAGCAATTTCCCACTACAGTGTGCACCTGTCCCAGGGTGCTGCACACAACAGTTTGAAGGATGCTGCTGCTCCTACTTAGGATGCCCTGCCCACACAAATCACTTGGCTCTTACTTTCTGTTCAAAATATATGTAAACACATGCATGCATATGAAGGGGCTTCAAAAAGTTGGTGGAATGGAATTTTAAAATAGTGGAAATTTTTCATGAGCTTCATAAATATCTCTTGTGTGTGTGTATATGTATATATATCTGTAATAAACTTCAAGAGTCAATCTTAAGGGAACCTTTCACTTATATCAAAGAGTACTTTTCATTCAATAATATGATCATGTAGATATTGAAATCATTTAATATGAACAAAACCCGTCTTGGAAGAAGTACAGCCAGGACGCTCCATGGAGACAGGGACGGTGAGACTCCGCCTCACGTACTTTGGACATGCTGTCAGGAGAGACCCGTTCCTGGAGAAGGATGCTTGGTAAGCAGAGAGGTAGCAATGAAAAAGAGGAAGACCCTCAAAGCGATGGATTGAGTCCGTGGCTGCAATCATGGACTCAAGTTTAGGAACAAGTGTGAGGATGACGCGGGGCCCAGTCGTGTCTCGTTGTGTTGTACAAAAGAGTTGCTATGGGTCGAAACCAGCTCGATGGCACCTATCAACAATGTTTTTCAGATGACATGTACTCCCCAAGGACCTGGTCATTATTTGACACTTGGCATGGTGCACAAATACAGCGTGACCATATGAGATCACAAACTGGCGACTACATCATCGCCCAGCTACCTAACTGCTGAGAATCCTGGCCCAGCCACGCTGACATACCCTCCGACTATCCTGGCCAACATGACTCTTGCCGGGCACATCAGCATTCATTAGCACCAGACATTTGGATAGAATTTTTTACTAATGTCATAAATGTGAAATGTCAGACAATGAGATAGTTGATACATAAGGAGTAGGTATATTACGAAGCTATGCATCTCCACAGAGATCCAGTCACTATGATGGCAAACCTCAGTACTATTCATTTTTCCAAGACATTGTCATTAAGAACCTTGACCTAGGAAATTGGATTTGTATATGCATTAGATAGAGAAACTGAGGGCTTCCTCCCCGGCAGGTGCTGTGGTAGATGCTCTCTCAGAAGGAGGCTCTGCACTTCAATACATAGCCTGTCCACAGAATTCTTAGTTAACACAAGAGACACACACACACTTTCTCTTTTCCGTTTCATGATCACTTTTTGTTTTTTACTGTCATAAATTTTTTTAATGTAACCATTGGTGCTGTTGACTTGATGTCAACTCGTGGTGACCCTGTGTATACAGAGAAACATGCCTTCCAGAGGGGCTTCAAGGCTGTGACCTTTTGGGGACCAGATCACCAGGCCTTTCTTCCACGGTGCCTCTGGGTGGGTTTGAGCTGCCAACCTTCTTGTTAGCAGTTGTGCATTTTACCATTTGTACCGCCCAGGGACACAATGATGTCACCAAGCCACACGCACTGGTGAGTCCATGTGGACTCACAGCAACACTGCCGGAGCGCGGGACTGCTCCTTTGGGCTTCCGAGGCTGTAAATCTTTACAGCTGGCAAAAAACTCACCCAGTTTCAAACTGCCCAACACATATATCCCACTATGGGGCCAGAGCTCCCTTAATGATGGAACAGGACCGCCGAATTTACTTCTGCCTTATATTACTTAATAGTTTACTTATATTGCTCTCCCTGGGCGGCTGACTGATGGACACTCACTCTTGCCCTTTAATATTATGTAAACTTGCCTTCACGTTGAAACAATGGAACCAACACCTCAAAAAACAAGAGAAAACAAAAAAGGTCACTGTCATCGAGTCAATGCTGACTCACAGCTAACCTACAGGACAGGGTTTAACTGCTTCTGTTTCGGAGACTGTAACTCGTTATGGGAGTAGAAAGCCCCGTCTGTCTCCTACAGAGCAGGTGGTTTTGAACTGCTGACCTTACAGTTATCACCCCAAATGCATAACCACTACGCCACCAGGCCTCCAACCAACTCCTATTGGCAACAAATTCTTCATCACAATTTCTTTCCACTGCTCCACGTGAGGCTTTGAAAGCACAGAAAAGCCTGCATGCCTTTTCTTGCACCAAAGCCTAAATAAGAACCATACACACCTGTCACCACTCACCTGCAAATTCAACTTCAAGACGCATGAAGGAATGGATCTCATTAGCAGCGCAGGGACTGCCTGTGCTTGAAAAGATCGTGTGACCTTAGTGGCTATCTTTGCCCTGACATAAGAGGAAATTTAAACAAGAGAATGCTGTGCTAATTTGCTCCCTCTCATCCTTGTAAAAAAAGACAAGAGTTGGGGCTAAAATTCAAATCTTATTGCCCAAAGAAATGAAGGGCCAGAAGTCTATAACCCTCATGCCACCTAACTCTCGTTTCATTTCCTCCATCCTTGAACTTCCCATCTCTCCCCAGATCCTTCTGTCTCACCACTGAGAGAAACTTCCCTAGTTCCTTACACCAAACTCTCTCCCTGCTGCTAACCAATTTCCCAGCGCTGCCTTATCACCATGCCACTACTTCTCTTCTCCTATTTGGCAGTTTCATCGTGGGGTTTTTGCTTGCCTTCGCCAACACAAGGCTCCTTTATTTTAAACCCTCTGTACCTGCTCCAGAGGAAGTTATATATGGCATTGGAAAACATGACGACCTCAGAGAGCTCTGTCCTCCCCACACAGGTTATAAACTTCTTTTCTAGCATACGCTGCATGCCATACGTAATGTATTGGAATGAGAAAGTCTTAAGTGGGCAGGTAATTGCTGCGGACATGTTGTCAAGCAAGTTAAACCAGATGATTGGTTCATGTGGACTCTCCCTCTTTCTCATCTTGTCCATGTTCTTATACAGCGGCTAAGCAGAGAATGAGATGGCAGAGATGACTACAAGACAAGGGTGAGACCCGAGAAAGTCCAAGACGATGAAAAGCAGAGTAACGGGATCAAACATGTAGACTCAGGAGGCAGATCGTGAGTCTTAGTTTCACCATTAATAGTCAGGACGCTTGTTCAAGCTGCTTAAACTCTCGGCTCAGTTTCTTCATCTGTTAAATGAGAATAACAGCAGTACTTACCTCATAGAGTTGCCATAATGATTGAACAAGCTAATGTTTGTCAAACAGTATAACGCTGGTACGTCTTCAGCAGCACATAAATATTTGTCAACTAAAAGAATTCCAGAGTTTGAGATCCTTCTCACCATGATATGGTGTGTCTGATGATCTCCACACCACCTAGCAGCTTCAGGACCCGGAGGCGGAATGATCGCTCCCATAGGACACCACATGACCTGAACCTGAACCTGAGCCAGCCCCATCGGCTCCCCGACCTCACCTCCCCCTGCTTGCCCCTGGCTCCATCGACTCCCTCTGGCCACTTTGTTGTTCTTCAAGCACATAAACACACGCACACACCAGGGCTTCCGTGTTTACATAACCTCCCAACCGGAACATCCTTTTCCAGACACCTGCCTGGCTCACCTCCTTACCACACTTTCCACGCCTCTGCTCAAAAGTCACCTTCCAGGTGAAGCTGCTCCCGCCACCCCTTGTGAACAGTGCAAGCTATAGAGGCAGAGCACTGCTGGTCCCCCTGGCCAGCTCGATGCTCTCCAAAAGACTCATCAGCATCTTAGTGTATACATTTCACTTCTTTGGTTTGCTGTCTTGTCTTCTCCCATTAGAATACAAAGGGGGAAGGATCCAAAAAGTTCATGGAAAATGGGCATAAAAAGATGAGGGCATTTTCCTCTGAACTCTTTGAAGCCTCCACACGTCAACGCGAGGCAGTTGGGGGGGTGTTTCTTGGTTCACCGTTCGGTCCCTGGTCCAGGGAAGGGCCTGGCACACTCAGAGGCGCTCACAATTCTGAGCTTAACAAGAGGAAGGCGCGGCTCACCAGGCTCCTCTTACCTAAGACGGTCATCACCGTTTTCATCAGCTTCATGGGTGTCCTCCGGCGGCTGATGGACCCACTTGTATGTGGAGACAAGACATTGGTCTTCCTCTTGACGTACATGTAGATCCGCAGGTACACCGCAACCATGATGAAGAACGCCACAAGGTTGGACACGGTCCAGAAAATGAGGTAGCTCCTGCTATAAATGGGAGCCAGGGAGGAGCAGGTAGAGATGTCGCAGAGGCAGTTCCAGCCCAGTGTGGGGACCGCCCCCATAAAGATGGCGATGGCCCAGATGAGGACAATGAGCAGCGTCACCCTCTTTTTGGTCAGGTTGCTGTGGACCCGCATGCTCATGATTGACATGTGCCTCTCCACGGCGATCACCAGCAAATTGGTCAGGGAGGCAGTTAAACTCGCGTCCAGAAGCCCCTGGCGGAGAAACCAGCGGTTGACAGTCAACGTTTTGGAAACGGGGCCAGTGTTAAACATCAGGAATACGTAAGCAATGCCGGCAAAGAAATCTGCGGCGGCTAAGTTAGCCAACAGGTAGTAGAAGGGAAAATGAAACTTTCTGTTTATGATCACTGCCGCAATGACCAGAGAATTCGAGAAAAAAATAAACAAGCAGAAAAAGGTTCCAAAACACAAAACAATCATAATATTCGTCCCCGTCCAGTCATCGGCAGTGTGCGTGTTGGTCCTATTATAAAAGTAGTCCATCAGCTTATCGTAGTGGCATTCATTCATTGTGGAGAAGAACTGGACATCCTAGAAGGAGATTTAAAGAAGAAACAAAGATCACTATTGGAACGTCACTCACCAAGCCCATTGCCACTGTTGCGCCCCTTCTTCCGGCCAATTCTTATGAATCCTCTGGGTCTCAACATGCCTGCCCCTGGTTCCAGAATGCCAGCCTGGATGCCTATCACAGGATTTCTCTTGCAGTGGTCCTTTCTGTTTCCCAGGGGCTGCTACATGCTTGGTGCGGGAGAATCTGTGTCTATCTTGTACACCTGCTAGCCCAGGGCCCTCCTTCCCTACCTACCCCATGACAGGCGTGTATTGAACGGCTGCTGGCTGGCTGAATGGTCTTGGGGGCAACAGCAGTTCAAAGGTGTGCAGCCCCACAATAGCCACCCTGCCCGGGGAACAACTACAAAGGGGTATGCCGATCTGTGCTCCCCTGGTGGTTCCAGTTCATTGCTTATGCGTGGGTTGTGTGCATTAATCAAGAGCAGGTTGGTAATGCTAGGAACATTCTTGCCAAGATAATGAGGTGAGGTAAATTACTGTTCACAGGGCCATATGGTTTCCCCAAGAGCTCAATGTTCCAGTACTTCTAATCCGACTTTGGATCTTCCTTCTACCTTCTTTGGTTTCAACTAGCGATTTCTACACTCGCTTTGTGCACGTATGGTGCAAGCTAGTGACAATGGTCTCAATACCTCTTCTTGACCTTTAGCTTCACATCGCCTTGAGCATTGCCTCTTCCAACTTGTACCAAGGTGAATCTGTTTGTTGGATTTTGCAACTTAATCACTTCGAGTTAGCTTCCCCATCTGGGTTCTTTCCAGCCCAACAGGGAAGAGAGTGTTGGAGCGGCTCCGATGATTTTACCAGTCCTTCGGCATAACAGGGTGCCCCGCATGGAATTTGAGCAGAGCTCCACCCCAACATGTCTGTTGTGTCTAATTGTCAAGAGAGGGGTGAACTCATGGGATACAGGTCTGCAAGCAGATTGCAAACTGGATTATCCTGCCAATAGGGAACAGAAGCCCTCAGACCAGTGGCTCTCAACCTGTGGGTCGTGACCCCTTTAGGGGTTGAAGAACCCTTTCACAGGGCTCACCGGATTCATAACAGTAGCAAACTTACAGTGATGAAGTAGCAATGGAAATAATTTTATGGTTGGGGGTCACCACCACATGAGGAACTGTATGAAAGGGTTGCGGCATGAGGAAGGTTGAGAACCACTGCCTGAGACCTTAAAAGAGATGATTCCGACCCAGGTGCCCATGAGTCTGTGCTGGCTGAAGAAGACCAGGTGTCTCTCACAGTGGGATGGCCACCGTCATGAAGGGCACAAAGGAGATGGAGACGAGACCAAGAGACCAAGAGCACCGTCTTCAAGGGACAGTGGCTGTGGGCTCCCTCACAAGAAAAGGGACTCAAGTGATTTTCTGGCGATCCAGTAGATCTAAGTGCTGAGCAGCTCTTTGGTAAGAATGATGGGCCTCTGACAGTGTCCGCTTTAATAGAAATTCTTAAGATTTAAGATTCTTGCAAATTCTACCATCCAATGCTGCATCCAGTATCAAGATTAGCTCTCAATTTTAAGACTGCATTACAGTCTTATTTTTAACTTACATTTTACTGTGTAATAATACTTTTAAATGAATTGGGTAATTGTTTTCCAACCATGGCAAATGGGAGGTAAAATATCATTCCATATACTTAGATAAACTGGGGCACTGTCAAGAGACAAATGGTTCTATTTCCTTTCAATTACAAGGAAGGACTCAATTTTAATAATGGCCAAATAAAAGTCATTCTCTTTGGCACACACTCACCAATATTTAACTGTTAGTAGTAAATAAGTCCACGTAACAGGCCAATCTATCTACACGACATCATATAATGTCTCAAATTAAAAATATAGATGTATATGATAATACAATGCTTCATAGTACTCTCTCTATATGAATATATTATGCGAATACATCACATTCATCTTAACTGATCTCTAAATGTTAAAGTTGTTTCCAGTACTTTGCATTATAAACAAGGCTACACACTTGTGCATTAATCATTACGTACCTGTCCAATCATTGCCTGAAGGGAAAAAATTAGAGTTGACACTGACAGGGTGTCGGATGTGAATTTCTTAAATAATTTCTGATACAGAATGTCAAACTACTCTTGAGACAGTCCTGTGTCTAATTCTACCAGCAGCATATGGAAGTTAATTAGAGGACACTAATTTGGTGATTCAATTTAAATATCAAAGGAGAAAATTCCACTTTCAATAGTGCTGAAATGTATAGAAATTAGACCCAAGGACCACATGTGAAATTTTAATGATACCATTATGTGCTCCTTCACTAATTAAAGATAATTATGTAGTTTATTTGGCTATATGCTCTAAATAGCCAAGAGAAACATAATTATGATTTAAAATGTGTATTACCCTTGATTAATTCATCAACAATGTCAAAATGAACATGTCAGAAAGACCTTGGAACGAAGACACAATGGGACATGCTAACTTAAATTTTCCTAATTTCTTTTTAATGTATCTTAAAATATAGTTATGGTTCTCAAATGTGGGAGGAGATGAGCCAGTCAGGGTACAGTGTAGCAAAAATGAAACATACAACAATCCTCTAGTTCCTAAGTGCTTCCTCCCCCACCCCACTATCATGACCCCAATTCTACCTTACAAATCTGCTAGACCAGAGCATGTACACTGGTATAGATAGGAACTGGGAACCCAGGGAATCCGGGACAGATGATCCCTTCAGGACCAGTGCTGAGAGTGGTGATACCAGGAAGGTGGAGGGAGGGTGGGGTGGAAAGGAGGAACTGATTACAAGGATCTACATATAACCTCCTCCCTGGAGAATGGACAACAGAAAAGTGGGTGAAGGGAGACGTCGGACAGTACAAGATATGACAAAATAATAATTCATAAATTATCAAAGGTTCATCAGGGAGGGAGGAGCAGGGAGGGAGGGGGTAAAATAAGGAGCTGATGCCAAGGGCTTAAGCGGACAGCAAATGTTTTGAGAATGATGAGGGCAACGAATGTGCACATGTGCTTTACACAATTGATGTATGTATGAATTGTGACAAGAGTTGTATGAGCCCCCAATAAAATGATTTAAAAAAAAAAGAATGGTGTTATTGTGGTTCAATTAAAAAAAATTCTTTCCAGTTTTCTCTATTTTCTAAAATTAAATAAAAGACAGAAAGAAACCTCTTAAAACTAGTCCACAAATTTTGTCTCTGGATCATAAACAAGCAAACAAAAACCCTAACTCACTGCCACTAAGTCAATATTGACTCGTAGTGGCCCCTACAGGACAGGGTAGAACTGCCCCAATGAGTTTCTGAGACTGTAACTCTTGATGGGAGTAGAAAGCCCTGTGTGTCTCCAAGAGCAGCCAGTGGTTTTGAACTGCTGACCTTACTGTTAGCAGCCCAACACGTAGTCACTGTGCTACCAGGGCTCTATCTTTCTTCGATAATTCCAAGCAGTCTAAACGTAATATTTGAAGAACAATCCTCAATAATTCGTTTATGTTCATTTTACTATGGCTGGTGTACTTTTGGCTTTTACAGTCACAATGAAACTACGATTGTGTTCTGGTTAAAATGTCACGCAACCACAAAGCTTCACTTGCTGACAACTTTCAATACCGGGCTATCACCTTCCTGTTCTCCTAAAAAACACATCTTAATGTCATCGCTCCAGAGCCCCAAAGCACAGAACTGCATGTTTTGTGAATTAGCACATTTGTTTCTTTTCACTCTGCCACAGGCTCCAAGCTTGTTGGCAATCCCCGGTAGCGATTAACTGCAGAACATCATTATTTTCCTACCTGGAAAGTACCAAAAACTTTAAGTGAGCTTATCGCAAATCACTAATTTATCATCTTTTGACCTCTCTCAGTCTTAAAACATGTTGTTGTGAGACTACAAATTATTATTTCCATTTTAGCTGAAACCTCCCTTCTCGAGAGACGTCTTCTGACTATGAAAAGGAGCCCATTTCTTTCCTCTTCCTCAGGCCACCCATCAACCACTACGCAGGGTCTTCTGTTGTACCGATACATGCACTGTCCATCGCCCACTAGAGTGCTCTCAAGAGCAGGGACCTTGCTTGCACTGTGCTTACCTCTAGAGCTTACGTAACTGTCGAGTGCGGGAAGGGGCCCCTGTGCCGCCGTCCTTTCTCCCACTAAATGCTTTTGCTAACGTACATGTCAACCACTCTCAAAACCCACGGCCATTAGTCGGCGCGGACACACAGTGGCCCTGTCGGGCACAGTAGAACTGCCCCGTAGGGTTCCCAGACTAACTCTTCACAAAGGTAGAAAGCCCCATCTTTCTCCCTGAGAGTGGCTGGTGGTTTCGAACTGCGGACCTTGTGGATCACAGCACCACATGTAAGAATCACTACACCACTAGGACTCCTAGTGTCCACTACTAGTATGGTGGTGAGAAGGCGCCCCACCATTCATTAACTATGTGTTTTAAAGTAAATCACTTAGTATTGCCACTTTATTATTACCATTTTAGTGGATACTATTTGAGCAAGGGAGTGGACTAGGCATTGTATATGGATCATTTAACTTCGGCCTCATAACAATTATGGTGACACCATGATTACAGTCATTTTGCCCAGGAGGAAGGTAGAGTAGCCTTCCATTGTTCCTAAGGCCACACAGCCAAATGAAGAGCTAGGACTCGAATCTACCCGAGGCACTTGCCCAAGGGCCCGTCTGAAATCCAACTCAGCATTTCCTCCCCAAACCACCACCAGGCTGCCCCAAGCACTGCAGTTATCATTACAACTATAAAATTGCCAAAATAGAGTCATCTGTTCCAATCACACAGAAAGGTGGCCTCGCACGATCAAATAAAGACAAGGAGGGCTCACAGTGGGCTTCTAAGTAGTCTTTGGGTTTTGTTATTTCTATCTTATAACCCTCAGAAATGTAGAAAAGGCATTTTTTTTCTGAAAATGTCATAAACTTTTATGGTAA